CGTAATTTTCTGAACTTATTGAGTCTCTTAACTGTGTTGTCAATGTGTTCTTTCCATCGCAGGTGTTGGTCCACTTATACACCCAAATACTTCATGTTGTCAACTTTTTTAATTATTGGACATGAACACTGCATTGGGTTTCAGCATAGATACTTATGAATGGTGAGAGTGTTATTTAAGAGTTGGTATTTTTTGTTGTGGTGAATGCAATGAACTTAGTTTTTCCCACATTCAGACTCAGGAGGCTCACATTCAACCAAGAGAGTACATATTTAAGCCGTGTTTCACCTCTCTCATAGACTTCATCCCAGGAATCGCCTTCAAATAAAAGTGATGCATCGTCTGAGTGAGATATTCTGCCATTGATATTATGAAGTTTATAAAAATTGTTAATATAAATCAAAAATAAAATAGGACCCAGCACTGTCTCCTGGGGCACGCCCATGTTGACAGGTAATGGATCGCTGAAGGTACTGTTTATATATCAGATATATAGTTTTTGAATAAGTCTAAAGTAATACCTCTAACTCCTACAGTTTCTAAACGGTCCAGAAGAGTTTGATAGTTGACAGTATCAAAGGCTTTAGCCAGATCTAGAAATACTGCCAAAATTTTTTTGTCATTGAAATTTTTCCAAACACTGTTAAACAATAACGATGATATTGGAACCTTTGGTGTGAAAGTTGAATAACCTTTTTCGAGATCAATTGCCCTAACACCAAACTGATATTTTTGCACTCGACGCGCGTTTCGCCAACAAAGTTAGCATCCTCAGGAGAAGAAAATTGATACCTAGTCTAGTCTGGTTAGTCCTTATATACTAAAATTTGTTACCTGAGGTTGTATACCTGATGTCCAATATTGAATTTCTCGGTAATTAACTACCTTTAACTACCTGCAAGTTCTTAGTAATTATTCCCTTCCTAACAGAAGATTAATAAGCGGGCTAAACGGAATGGGTCCCTTATCACCATTCATGCTGTTCTTACATTTTGCTATTTCTAGACTCTCACATGCATTGAGTAGCCTGGTGCCATGCACATGCCTAATCAGTTTCAGATTGTTTTCACCAATTCTGTGGTCCTTGTCTAGAGCATTTTGGGCGACACTGGATTTTTCTATCCTTCCGTTTTTCATGTGTGCACAATGCTCCTTGAAGCGGGTTTTAATCGCTCGTCGGCTCTGGCCGATGTATTTGCTGTTGCAATCTTGACAACTGATTTCGTCTAGGTATCAATTTTCTTCTCCTGAGGATGCTAACTTTGTTGGCGAAACGCGCGTCGACTGCAAAAATATCAGTTTGGTGTTAGGGCAATTGATCTGGAAAAAAGTTATTTAACTGTTAACCAATTGAAAGACTGCATTTTCGGTTGACATATGTTCTCTGAAACCAAACTGACCTTCAAATTAAATATTATTTTGTTCTAAGATAGAACCTTCGCCGAACAGGATCAGGCAAAAACGGCCTTCGTCGACTTCATCAAATCCCGAGTACGCAGTTTTCATCCTGACGGAATTGATCGACGTGTTACGTTGGTAAAGTGCACTGATTCAAATGCCACTTATTTCGATTAAATTGAATAAGTATCCACTAAGATATTTCACTTTAGAGTAGACTCATAAAAACGGACAAAACTAATATCACTGAAACGAGAATTTGATAAACTTGAAATGAGATATCTTTCAGCCCCTTTTGCCATTTATCATTTCATCGATATAACTCATCCCTTTTAGAAGCTGAACAAATAAAAATAATACAAATTAAGTTGACGAGTTCAAATAATTTTTACGAAAATACCGTTGAATAAAAATGGTTACATTTTTTGGTCCTCTCTGTATAGACTCATAGTATTAAAAACCTATACAGATGACAAGATATCACCACAACTTCAAAATAGAAGCGCTTAAATTTCAGAAAATCTGTCCAATAGGTTGTGAATTTAGAAAAAATTTATTTTTTCAATACAATAATGTGATTTGATTGAAGTTTTGCGGTGCAACATCATATTCATTATTTTCGAATCAAAGTATATTCTTATCGCCTCATTATACTTATTCAAATATAGTGACTTATTTTAAAAATGTTATATCTCTGAGACCTTTGTAACGTTGTTATCGGACTTACTACTATTTAAAGGTCGTGAAAATTGGAATTTCGATAATGAAGTACTCACCTTGCCGAGTTGAGTTTAACGCCTCATAATAAATTGTTGAGTCAAGAAAGCACCTGTATGTCATACGAATTGCGTTACATATTTCGAATGTGAATCATGTTACGACTTTCACACCAGATGTTCTGAAAAACTGTTTTTCTCATAGTTATGACGATGCATTTTTAGCACTTTTGAATTTATGTGTTTTTAATAGATCTTCCATTTAAAAATACGTATTGGAATTGGGGACACATTCCTAATCAGTCAGCGTAAAGCCGAATAAGTAATTAAGATGATGGTAGTAGTGAAACCTCACAACTACGAGGCTGTGAAAATCAAATTGAAAAACAAGCTTTTCATCATTTTTCTATTTAATTGAATTAGCGATCTGGAATATTAAAACGACAAATGAAATAATAAAAAATAATCCAAGACCGATTATATCGAAACTATACAAGCGGTAGAATAAAACTGTTATGCTAAATTGCAGTTCTGAACTTCACCTTTCAGCTGCTATTTTGTATTTCATTCAATAAAGTCCATTATTAGTTTTATGGACCAGAATGTTGTGTCGGTCGAACCCTGTCACGAAGCTCCGACATCGCTAACCAATAAGCATAAGAGAGTGACCATTAGGTCCGAGAATCGTGTGCCCTGAGTTTTTTTAAAAGACGAAACACAAGCACTAAAGAAAAATTCTTAAGGCACTCTAAGTGCGGTGCCAGTGCCTGTTAGGATAAACANGATTCACATCGGATTTGAATCGCTGCTGGAGATTAAATTCATTAGGAAAAACATTCTCAGGAAGTTTTTTCTATATAAAAGCAATTCTCCATATGAAAGATATTTCATCAGTTTTTTCTTCTATTTTCGTACGATATACAACTGTATCAGGCTTATTGGCTTATATGAGCCTGAGGGTGGGGAATGAATAGTTTAAGCAAATTCGGCACTTCTCATTCCCCACAAAGGATTCAATATCCCCCAGAGCGTAGAGCAACACCGTTGTCTCGTCAATACCGTAAAAGTGCCGTAAATGGTAATAAAGCACTCTTGGGGACCGCGTTATGTCGATAGATATAGGCCGGGACCGCATATGCTGGACGTGCTGACAGCAAGTGCATAAGCATCTCAGGTGGCTGCATCTGGTGACAGGTTTCTCTCTACCCGTCACGCGACTAAGGTAATGCAAGGCCTTGAAGACATCATACTGACCGGCCATGATGAACCATCAGTTTCCGACTGGAGCCTACTTGAAAGCAAAGGTCAGTTGCTTTGATAAGCCGCGCTCTTCAATATTGTTAAAGAAGACCTCATGACTCAACTTATTCCTGTATAGCCACAGGAGTAAACTGATTAATGTGGCTTTGATGTGGGTCTTTTGCTGGATGGGTCCCAACTCAATGACAGAGTTGTGGTTACTCCGTTCAGTGTCAAACACCAAATCAAGTTGATCGGCCGCTCAGGCATCTACCATCAAGAGAAATGCTTCAACTCCTATTTTTTTTATGGTCCAAAGAAGTGGATCCGATCTCCTAATGACTATACGCGCTCCAGTCAAAACCATTCCGTTATGAAGAAACTTCAAACTCAAAAAATCCACCGCCTGTTCAGACTCGTCATCTCCACGAAACTCACTGACGGAATCATGGTGTTGTTATTTTGAAGATTTGCGTCCAAGGTTTTACCATAATTCAGTAAGCCATTGTGAACTTTATAATCAAGACTATGGCAAATCAAGAATCTATGAACAGAGATGGAATCGGAGTAATGAATCTTTCATTTGTATTTTATTATTCCGTTTTTACTGTTTCTTTTATTTTCCGAAAAATATAGATATCAATTGAATGAATTTCTCCCCAGTCAATTTTTTTATCTATTTATGCTTCTAATATAACAGCCCTACTTTTAGGGACTCAGTAAATCAATATTGGGTCATTATTACCAACACCTTTCAAGTACTATTTCACAGAGAGTTTTATCTCCACATCATTCCATTGACGAATGAAAAGATATTGAAACATTTGAGTTACAAGATACCTGATAAGACTATTTGATCAAATAAGTATACGGGTATTATGAAATTTATAAATCATCACATAATAACACTTACTGTTTCATTTTCAAACGATAAATAACAGTTTTCAAGATTCAAGGAACATTTATATTGTTTTAATTGCATTTTTTTTAATTAATGGCAAAACCCTGCTTGCTAAAAAATTAGAGTGAGCCACTGGAAAGGAAAAATCAGTTTTTTATAATTGGATTTATTATATTTAATGGCGATTATAAACTGCCCTGCAATAACCGAAAATATTACAAAACAATTCAGTCACGAAAGAAACACCTATTTTTCACAGTAGAATAGCTGTTTATGTTCATTCTCAATTAGGTTCATTGGTTTTTCATGCCGATATTAAATCGTACATACTAGAGCATGTAACAGTTGACCCAAATCATAAATGATTGTAAAGATCTTTATTACTATCTGTTTAACAAACTTAGCTGTAAAATTAAGTAGGTACACATTGAAAAGTAGGATATTGCTATTGGTAAAAATAATGGGTGACTCGCAAATATAAACTAATACAAAGTGGTAATTCAGTTCGTAAACAAATTCTTTGATCGAAAGAAATATAATGACATCCCTGTTGAAAATAACATTTCATGTGAGAACTAATAGCTATCAGAAAATGATAAAAATGAAAAAATATTAGGCATATGAACTAACTCAATAACTTCATCTATATCAAGCAAACTTATGTTCAAAATTTTCAATATTACGCAACAAATATTTATTCCACTCCCATTCAAAAGTATATAATGTAAAATAAATGAAGATCTTACCCATTCCCGTGACTTTACCATCTGTAGGGTTCAGATTGTAGAAGATATCATCGTATTTGGCCTTTTCTCTACTCACGATCCAGTCTAACTCTCCTGCCCCTGCATCAACACCCTCACCTTTTTTGTAACCAAATGGAGAGGTGGTATTCTCGACATTGATGAACGCACCCCCTTGCACATTGCCGTCACCATTTTTAATGGAATTAGCCTCAGCTTCTAATGGAATCTTTGCCATCAAAACAGAAATATCGTCAGATAACATTCGGTCAACAATATCTAATAATTTGGGTTTCAAAGGATTGAATTTACTGAAATCTAAGTTGGCAAGTACTTCTTGCATTTTTTTGATCTCTGGGAAATCCCCTGGGGAAATCTGATGCTCCTTTTGTAGTTTGTCATAAATTTGACCCAAATTTTTTATCAGTTCCTTCTTCTTTGAGTCTTTTCCGAACATAGAAGGCATTTCTTTTCTCAGCTCAGCCATTATATAAGCATGGACCTTTGCTAATCTCGCACGTTTAATAAGATCATTTAGTTTCCTTTGTGCAGCATTTCTAGGAAGTGATTGTAAGTCTTTGAACAAATCTTGTTCTTCATCTTCAAATAGTCTTCTGTTACCATCATATCTCAAAGGTTGGTCCCAAAAGGATCCGATGTATACTCTAGCAACTTCTGGGGTTTGTAAAACTTTACCCAGAGACCACATAAGAGCACCGTATACTCTCATGAGTTGTTGATGATCTACCATGTCAGCTTTGTTCAGTACAATGCGAATTTTATCATCATGGCCCCTTAATGCTTCAATAGACCTTCTAAATTCATCAGAAATATCTAGTTTATGGGCGTCAAAAAGAAGTATGATTCTGTCCACTCTTTCAGCGAACCATTCGAGAACCCCAGTGAAGTCGTAACCTCTATCGACCCTCTGTTTTTCACCAGACAGAATTCCAGGGGTGTCTATAATCGAAATATTCTGTAATACTGTTGAATTGACTAAGGAACATTGAAGGCGGTTTAAAAAAGCATTGCCGAACTTAGACAGAGGTCTGAACTGCCTCTTAGGGTCAACCACAAGAGCATTGCCAGGGATCATACCTTCTTTTTCGTCATACATCACAGCAATGAATCTATCAGTCGTGGGCTCTGGCCCAATTCGGATGCCAGGAAAATCTCTCTCAAGCAAGTACTTGATAAAAGTAGTTTTTCCCGTAGAATACTGGCCTACGAGGAGGATCATGGGTTTTGCATCAAAGTCTGAATCTTCCAATTTCGGAGAGTGAAAGTCATGGAATTGATGATATTCTTCTAGGGGTAACAATTTATGTTTGTAAATATTCTTGAGCCCTTCAACGACATTATTGTAGATTTCTTCTTTACTATTATCCTTGGTCAACCAACTAAACATTTTTTTCGAGTTATTTTTCACTATTCACCTACTTTACTGACTTCAAAACAGACTTTCACGGGCGTACTCGTACTGACAAATATGACATGACATATCTCAATGACTGAAAATGATGACACATTTGGAACCTCCCACCAAGAATGTCAAATGAAGTGGCAACTCTGTTCGTTCACGAATCGGTGTTACCCTCAAAACTACTCTAAACGTTGTTCGGCATCATAATACATAGAAAGGTTAACGTTTCATGAAAATGACTAAGATAAGGGAAGTATTTAATGTCGAGATATTACGAGTTACAAAAAATGACAATTCTAAGACTCATTGAAAAGAAATGAACTAAATAATTCAGTGTGGAATTTAACATATGAGCGATTATAGAAATAGATGGAGTTTACGTGTCCAAACAGTATCATATATACTTATATGCATAGGTCACATTCAAACTATTGCAACAAAAATTATAATAGAATTGGAAAAGTTGAACAGAGAACTTAAGAGGACCACCCTGGTTTTTTGTTCTTTTTTAATTGTATTTTCCTATATTCAACTCGGAAATTCCGACTTTCATCTCGGAATTATATGATTCTGACTTCTAACTCAGAAACTACGATTCAAAACTCGGTATTATATTTTTTTGACTCTTGATTGAGAATATTCAGATGTTATCTTTCAACTCAATATAACCTGATCGCCTAACCTAACAAAGTTCATATTGATCTCACAGTATACCGAGTTGAAAATCAGAATAATAATTATATTCTGAGACGAGTCAGAATTTTTGACATATGTTCGTTGTAACGAACTATTACAGTCCGCTTAGTTCGACTAACATACTTTTTATTGCTATCCTCATAATTTATTTCGTAAATCCAGACTTTTCCGTCGTCTTATCTTCGGTTTGCTCAACACTTGTTGAAGTGCACGAGAAGTTCTGAAAGCCACTGTCACATTCATTTTTTTAGTGTTGGTTTATTTTGGTTCATACGGGAATTAACAATAAGACACTCTAAAATTTAGTTTCCTAATTAACGTATTCACTATGCTTGCAGGATACCTGTTATTTTACCTTTTCTTTGATATCATACCTCATTTTTTTATACACTGACCTGTTACTTGGTGGAAATTAATAACATTACTTATGATGATTACAAATATTTAAGATATAGATTTATTTCCAATACGCGTTTCACAACAACAGTAGTTTTCTCAGTTGGTCTGGACCAGTCCAACTAGGAAATATGCAATAATATATAATATAGATACGCACTTTATTGCGAGATCTTCACTGGACAGTTTACAAAACCGCAACACGTTTTTCGCTATACAATACAGTTTTCATACTGACTGAATTCTACTTTTCACAAGTTTTTTCCGTTTTAATGTAATGTGTTTTTAGTTCCATATCTCAATAAATATTTATTCTACTCTGTCATGTAATTTCGATTCTGATAGAAATTTTACAGATTTGATAAATAAATTGAACCCATGTGGAAATACTTTCTTGGAAATCATATAGACGGTCTGAAACTGAGTGGAAGAACAGGGTAATCAAAGATTCATCGCTGAGAGAACTGAACTTCGCCTTTCATTTTCAATAAGTTGTTTAAGATTGTTTAAAATGATTACGACGATTATTATATTATCAAAAACATCGTTGGGCTGAGAATGAACACTATATGATATATCAGCCACTGGACTCTATTCTCAGTTCTACGCTGTTTCTAGTTCTAATTTTTGTTTTCAGTAGTCCTACTAAATATAAAATTCAATGGGATTCAACATAAAATTTTATTAACAAAAATCATTACAGAGTTCAAAACAATTTCAGGATTCAAAATTCATATAAAGTCAAACAAATTGTAATTTTTTTTCTCGTGATAGTATGTCGTGAAACTGACTAGAAAATGTAAAAGTTTTCTATGAAATAAAGATGTGAGATAAGAAATAACAATAGCAAGTACATGGAAACCCCATTAAAAAGATTGTATGCAACATGTCTTTTTTATTTTTCAACTATAGCCAATTTTTCATGAAAACTGTAAGAGTTCCAAATAATAATTACGGAATAGACAATCAATATTGTAAAATGATATGAGGAACTAGAATTTCATAATTTATCTGAAGCCTGTGATGAAATTTTTTTGTTGAACATATACCTATAAATTTACAACACAATAAAATAAAAGTAATATACAATCGTGAAAATGTAAAACAATCACAGGAATATTATTATGGTAAATGGCGAAACGAATTTGAATATTTGTATTACTATTCTCACAATGAAATGAGATTACTGAGGAGACAAGTCAATGTATAACTTAGAAACATATTGGTACTGATAACATAATCGAATTTGATAATAAAAAACGCAGTTCAAAATAAAACAGGACAAAGAAAAGGCCGAGAGAGAAAAATGTTTCTGTTTTCAGCATTTCTTTAGATGAAAACCAGAGCCCAAACACAACGCACTTATGATTCAACGCCACTCAGCGCCAATTCGACCCACCAGAGGTCTCTTCACGAGTGCTAGGCTGAACCACAAATGCGTTGCTGGATTCAACTGTTCTTAAAGGACAAGCCTGATTAAGTAAAGTCGATAACATTTCCCCATACAAATACGCCATCTATGGGATCAACAGAGAACTCAATACTCGAATATTGAAGATGCAATCCCATAGATGGCGCCTTCGTAAGGGGAGATATCGTCTACTGTATTTACTTTAAATGACAACCCAATCATTGTCGTCAGTGAGCATATGTGATATTTCTAAGCTGATGGCTTCATTCTGTTATATTTCGAAAACATTTTATATACGTATAGAGTAGTCAATCTGTAGTACTTCAACTGGTGATGGTTCTGCAAGATTTATTGAATGCAAACTGTTTATGTTTTCTATTGGAGACAACTCAAAAAAAATTTACATATCAAATCAATACTATTATCTTTGAATTAATTTATAATACATTTGATTCGATTGGAAAGATGACTGAAATTTGCTTACTAACATTGACAGTACTCCTGTCGATGTATTGATCATCAGTTGAAGTCATACAGGTTTCTCAAACACCCTGTAAATACACTGTGATAAAATTTCGCAAAACTGAAGTACAATAAAAGACATACACATTGACATTGAGAGGGTTCACATGAACCCAAGACTGTTTGATAATTTCCCAGTAAAGGTCAGTTCAATTTAATGATCGAAAAATACTTATTTTTTGAAAAATCAAATTCAGGAGGTTTCAACGACTCTTTCTTATGACCTCCGGCCAACAGTTTCAAAACTATAAAGTTAGTTTTGCATATTGTCAACAATTCAGTTATTTCTGAATCGGCGGGAATACTCTCCAACAGCTGGCGAGCTTGGTGAAAATGTTTACAACCAGCAATGTAAAGGAAAACACTATCAACTGGTTGCTGCTGAAACCTTTCGAACGATGTCATTTCCCTGAATTCTGCATAAACAACTGGTGGAGGAGTCAGAAGATTTTGAAAAGGGGCAAATCTATGTTCGTACCGTACCTGTTCACTGTCAAAACGAGGATGGGGCATAGTTAGTTTTCCTTCCAGGCGAAATCCCATTAATGCCTGAAACATATATCTAGCTGAGTATTTACTACTAATGGGTACCAATTACTTTTTACCTTGTAGTACCCTCCACACATATTCTGAAGAGCTTGTAAAAAAATTATGTCCCTATTATAAGGCCTCGCTTTCTTTTTATACTTTGGTTTTTTCTTTGAAGTTCCTTTATTTTTCTGTAGTTCATTGAGAATTTCATTTTCAACAAGAAAACTGTCTGCTCTAGATAAAGCTGATATCAACCACCCATATAGAAACTCATATAGGTACCTAAATGAAGTGAAAATTATACTCAAAAAAAATGGAAAACAGCTGCAAATTATGATGTGAAAGAAAAAATATTCCCTCACCAGTAAATATAATAAAATTCGTGTGTACTATATAGTTCCAACTCAAATCCTGCAAGTAGATACATGATCATGATTCTCAAAGTGTGATAGAGAATCCAAGTGCCAAAACATGCAATATGTGGTCTTGACAGTGGAGAATTAACAGAAAGATTGTGCAAGTAGGCATCTACTCGTTCCGCCTGAAAATTGACTAATGTAGTAGTAATACAAAATGGTGCTGAAAGTAAATACCTCATCCTGTAATGTAGTAAACTCTTCTAATAAATGAGCAAGTTTGTCTCGTTGTCTAGCTCTGTTATGACCACATAATTGGAGGAAATTTATGAAAGGTCTTGAACAGTGAGTGAGAAATGTATCCACATAATGTTTTGCCTGTAAGATTTATTGAAATTGTGAAACAAACAAGGAAACAGACCTCTAATGGCATTGACCGATACTTGAAAATCAATAACGTATTCAAGTAACAATTTATTGTGAGATTTTCACGTGTGAGGAGGCATTGTATAGGGAAACACGTGTAGCGGTTTACAAAACTGTCATACCCAGTATGGGCACGCTTGAGGAAGCTGTCTAGTGAAGGTATTATTTCGTTCTCCATTAGATCATGATGTTAGGAATCACACGTTGAAAGGTAAGACCTCGTTAGTTCTTAGCTCGCGTAAGTTTCGACTCTTACGGGTTGTCGTTCGTAGGGGGGCAAAAGCTGGTTAACGGAAAAATAATGCATCGAATCACCCATTTTTGGAGTACTAAGATTCTCTGGCATTCATATGAGCAACCCCAGACCAGTATTCTATACGAAACAACAAAGTGTATTTGGGCATGATAATAGATGAGTAGAACAGAATTCTCAACTGTACTACGTATCTTCTATGAACAATAACACCTGTGGGCAATTCTTTTTGGTATTTCCAACAACAGTATTCAGAAAAGTTAATTCCCAGAATTGTTATTGATTGTAGTTGTTTTAGGGACTCGTTGCCAGTTTTAATTGATGAGCTATGATCCAGGTTTTTCCAAGACAGGTGGAAACGAATGAAAACATAAAGAAATTTTATAAACTCTATCTAGGATACCAGAAATATTATTTGAAAATTCATCAATTGCACATACAGTTGATAAACCTTCAATAAAGCCAAATTGTCTATTATTAAATAGTTGCAAGGAGTCAAGCACGTGTTGCGGTTTAGTAAACTGTACAATGAAAATATCACAATAAGATGTTACTTGAATAAGGAAAATGACAAAGATATTAACTGTTCTTTAGTAATTAAGACTCAATATCATTTTTATTTCACATACTAACTTGTGAGTTACTCAACAGCGATTTTGACAGTAATGCTGGTGGACAAATGAAAGACTTCACAGAGTCCCTCAAGATATCCTTGGAGTTCGTTGGATTCGTACCTAGAATTTCACATAATTAGGAAACTATTAACTAAGGTTAGCAAATAACTGTTTACCTGGATATAGTAGTTGCAAAGCTGACCTGGATAAGATACAGGGACTTGATTTACTAAATTCAATGAAAAAATCCTGATTAAAAAAAAGGTTATTCAATTCAAAAAGTCGAGGTACCCAAGATTGATGATATACATACCAAAGCATGATGAAGGGATGAGATGGATTGTATTTTACTAACAATTTTGAAGCGTTCAGCCATTTCAATAAAATATGTCAAAGCTTCTGATCTTGACTTGATTTTTGTGTACCGAGGGAAAGTAGGAGGTAACAGACGCTGATTTATGGAAGGTTCAAACCCTAATATGTATTCGTTTCCATCTGGAAAAAATGATATGGTGATTTAAAGGATTTCAACACTAAAAATGTAAAATTCGAGTGTATGCATCTGAGATGTAAGGTTTTATAGTACATGACTGTAGAAGTTTAACTAACATTGTTGCCTTGGAAACCTTGTATTTTTTTCATATCGGGCCAAATCTCATATCGGGAAAACATGCAGAAAAAGTTAATAAAATGTTTGGCTTTCAAACTTGATTGTTCATATTCATATAAATACAATTATTATTGATTATATACCACAGGATTGACACTCCATTGTTTGGATAAATACATGTATTACTATGACTTCTCAGGGTAGTCAATTGGTAAAGAATACGCTTTAAGGCCACTGAAAAATATAAAAAATATGACTCACTATTCAAGAAAAATGAGTTGTTATCGACTTCATCCTGTAAATGGATGTATCACTGGGTCAGCTATTTTCCGGATTTGATGGCCCTAGTCTGAAGGTTTAAATGCCTGACGTTTTACCTACTACTATGGTAGTCTTTATCGAAGGCTTGAATAGAACTGGCCGATACTTGATGAAAATCCAAATTTAAAAAAAACTAATAAATAGAGTTTATTCTATGATTTTCACTATAGCTTCTTCAAGCAGTTATGCTTGAAAAAGCTATTCTATAGCGAAACACGTGTCGCGGTTTTTGTAAAACCCTTATAGTGAAATTCATAGAATAAACTCTATTTATTAGTTTTTTTTTATCGAAGGCGTTGAGTCCACCGAAAAGTGCTCAGGTTGGTCTCACAGTAGACACTGTATCTCATCGTTTTTGATAATGTCTACCGCAGTAGTAGATGAACCGTCATGCATTAAAACCTGAAGACATTTCAGGTACTAGGAGTTTTCTTTATTTATTAAAAGGAATATAGAGTCTATAAATAAATTTTCGAGAATCAGCTGTGGTACATAAAAGGAATAAGTAGTGCCTCCAATTCAGCAATTATTAGCACTTTGATGAAAAAACTATAATTTACCTCATTATTATCATCAAATTATCAAATTTCATTACTCAATTTCATATAAACAATTCTGACCAAAAAACTTCTAGAAACAGTGCAGGTCCGTATTTAAAAATTCAAGGTCGCGGGTGACCCCATATGAATAGTCAACTTAGTTATAATTTAACTGATCCCCATGCATAGACTGGAATTTGAGTAGCTCAGTATATACCTTCAAATAACTCCGTTTTCAACAACAAAAAAACTACGCTAACCTTCTTCACTTTTCACTCCCAAATCAACACTGTCTTGAATGATATAGAGCATCTCTAAAGAACTAACTAGCAGTCTCTGACAGTCAGTTGTTGATGGCTGATCGTCTTTACGAAATGATATCAAAACTTGAAGAAAAATTCTCAGAAACTTCATCCTAGCAAACAATGCCTGGGTTTCATGACTGGGTATGGACCTGCCTTTCCTATGTAGATCTTCCTCAACTTCTCGTAGCATTGCGATCATACGCTGCTCTGAAACGTCGGGATTCAAATGATACCCATATTGCATTGGTTGAAAATCTTCCTCTTCATATACACTAGCACTAAAAAATAATACATGTATATTTTATTTATCAACATGTATATTTATTACTCAAAAACCACGTCTTTGATAATTTCTAAAAGTTTGTATATGGCAAGGCAGAATGCTTTCAGTAGTTTATCCTCTATCATATATGGCTTGTGAAGATACAAATTGATAAAAACAGTTTGGGCAAGAGAATGTCCTTCCAACCATGATACTAGACAAGCAAAGGTACTGTCTATTATACCTATTATTTCTTTGTCTTTGAATCCGCCCAGTTTAAGAATTTTGTCCTGAAAAAAATACAAATTATTATGTCATAGCGACTAAATTGTTTTCAATATTGGAAGAAAAAGGTTTTATGTACCTGAACAGCCTGATCAAATGATATTATTTTTCTAATTCCTCTATTGCACAGCATCCCAGCATCCATTTTTGGATCCATCATTTCAATTGCAGACATAGCCTCGAAAAGTCCAAACAAATCATCATGAAGTAACTCCCCTAACTTCAAATCTGAAAAATATCACTTGAAAATTTGAATATGAGGTACCTGAGAGAAAATATGAACCTTTAACTGCTTCTTGAAATGAGTTGGTTATATCTGTCCAGTTTGCATGCAGTCTCCATGTAGAGCAGGTATGGGAACTGAAAAAATTTAATTTGCATATTTTCTTGAAAACAATTAGGAAAACTTACCATTCATTTTCCATTTTTTGAGAACGTACCATTCAGAAATACAAAAATGTGGTTCCTCATAAAAGACTTTTCAGACAGTTTTCATACATAACCTAGAAATGTCAGGAGAGCTCAATCTTTCTGATTTATAATGCAAACCTCTGTTTGTTATAAAACTAATAAATTGTATTGCAAAATTTGTTTTATGAATTTAGAAAATGTTGGTTCATTCAAATAAAGTTAATAACATCCCAAGACATTTCTACCTTCCTATATTATATGGTCACAGTATTTCTGTATATTTCTGTATATACAAAATACTGTGATATGGTGTTATCGCATTGATTACATCTTATGAGAGTAGTCACTGATATTTTATTTTCGAACTAATTTTTATATGTGCGCATGTTCAAGGCATATCAAGGTCCAATTTTCAGAAGTTGGCACATACTCTCAGAACTCAGAAGATTGCACAGACCGCACACAATCGCAGAACTAAAATCCAAGTTTTATACATAGACGATTTTCCGACTAAGCTTGATAACCCAATAGAAGATTCACATTAGCAATCAAAATAAAAAAAATCTGTCTGTTGAATCTGTAAATCAATTGGTCACTTCATCAAGTTTTTGAAAACGCGTTTTGAAACCAATCGATGTACATACTGTACATTACATCCATCATGATGAAAATATGGCCTCCCCACCTCGTTATGAATATTTTAAGGTTATGGTCATGGAAGCTTATAGTTATTTGAAAGATAATATCAACAAATGCAATTTGTATTGGTCATTTTCCATTCCCTCAATATTATGTGAAACCAGAGACATGAAATAATTTTTAGTAATCACTCCAGTGTAAGTCATACAGATTTCTATCATATGAAAAACAGTATTGCGTATAATGTTGTATGTCGTAACTGTGATATTTATACTATAATGAATTGAATAAAAACACTTTTGTCTAATTTACACTAGTTATTTTATTTGTACGACCGGTTTCAGGTTTTACCCCACTATCAAGACGAAAGTGTTTTTATTCATTTCATTAAAGTGATCATGAATTTCCACAAAATGATCAAGTCATCAATCACACAGATGCTATTTATAATAATTTATTGATCACAACTACATTACGGAGTCTGGACAAGTCTCACAGAAATACTTACAAGATAGGTTCATACAAATTATTCACGAACTAAAATTCGTATTGACATATATAAATGAAAAAAACAAATCTTTGAGATAAAGTTAGTAATATAATTTCTCTTTGTGACTATTCAACGTTTTCTGAGGTAAAAGCTCAACAATATTTAATATGACTGATCGTTTCGGATTAAAATGGGACCCCAAAAATTTAGAGATTAGAACAATGTCTGTAGAAAAGACACTGGAACCTCTAGTGTTGCAAGTTACAACACTTGTAAATACTAAGGGGCCCAGTAAAAAGAAGAAAGGTAAATCTAAACGTGCCAATGCTCTTGTGAGTACTGTGGAAAAAGCTACTGAAAACTTTATTGAAAAGGGAGAGCAAATTGCCTATGAAAATCCAGATATTACTGATGAAATGCTAGCAGCAGTAGAAGAAGTGAAGAAAACAGGTAAGGAATCGGTATGATTGCCAGTACCCAACACAAAATACCAAAGAAATCTTCAAGATTTTCTTTTTTTAGTATGTCAACAAATTAAAATATGATTTTCAAGTTGATTTAAGCTGGATTTATAGATGCACCCAATCTTGAGTCGTGAGCCGCAAGTTGTAAGAAATCATAGCATCATCAGATAACTGGTTAAGTTTCACTTTTAGTCATCTTCTGATGATGCTAACTTGTTTAGCAGAACACCCTTTAAGAGACATAATTTTTGTTCTGGTGTAAAGTATTTTCAATAGATGCATTTCATGTTAGAGGTTCCAATTCTATTTATGCATGACCATGGATATAATTTTGAATGCACTGACCATTACTTGGTTAAAATCAATAGTACTATCAACGATAATGATAATTTCTTTGGCAATATAGAATTTTTTTCTAATACGCATTTCACTTACAATGCAAATATACGAATTATTGACCTTAATTATTAGAGATTACTTATTGTTGGTCAATCAATAGGAAATTTGATTTTTCATATTCATTAACTTCTGAATTCCAGCAGGTTTAATTTGTCCTCTAATTACTGCCACAACAGATGGTTTGCATTGAATTGGTTTTCTTTCATCTTCTGCGATCAGAGACTCTGGTTTTGAAATTTATAGATGTTCTCCCAATATAAACTATTGGCCTACGGTGTTAGCGAAACATGATTGAGAAGTTGAGGTGTTTTCTGGGGTTTAATCGTACTCGTACTCGAAAATGTTTTGAATACATGAGCGACAGAAAACACCTTTTGCAAAGTGTTAACTGGACAGACTTCTGAACATTGACGAGTATGTGCAATATTTTCTATAGGGGTCACTGCTAATTTTTTGAATACTGGGGATATTACCTGTTTCCAGTGAAGTATTTGAGAAATGTAACCGTATATGTTCTATTACGCTAAAAGTACTTTTGATAATAGTACTCTTCAAAATTTCAACTCTTGATCCCGTATTATTCAAGTCGTTATGGAAAATTGCAGGCACTGCTATGAGTGTAGCAGCAAGGGAATTTTCTGAAGATCCTTGTTCTTCGCTGAAAAGAGGCAATATGGTCCGAGCTGCCAGAAATTTACTATCAGCAGTAACACGGTTACTTATTCTGGCTGATATGGTTGACGTTCACCTTTTACTGAAATCCTTACATGTAGTAGAAGATGATTTAGAGAAATTGAAAAATGCATCAAGTCATGGTGAACTTCTTGATAATATCAAAGCTTTCGGGCAAAATGCCAATGAGTTGATGAATCAGGCAGCTAAACGGCAACAGGAACTCAAAGATCCACAACTTCGAGATGATCTTGCCGCAGCTAGAGCTGTATTGAAGAAGCATTCTACCATGCTGTTGACAGCTTCCAAAGTTTACGTTCGTCATCCTGAATTGGCAGCTGCTAAGGCAAATAGGGACTACGTATTGAAACAAGTTTGTGAGGCTGTCCATACTATCAATGATGTTGCACAGGGTCGTACTCCGCAACCAGCTTGTGGACCTTACGATGGCCCAGGTGAATTGGCTGCAGCACTAGACGATTTCGATGTGAGTCATTTTCCATTCATTTATATCTCGTAACAGATTCGAAATATACTTGTAATTGTTCAGGATCACATGGTGATGGAACCATTAGCTTATAATGAAGTTCATACTAGACCATCTCTTGAGGAAAGATTGGAAAGCATAATAAGCGGAGCAGCCCTCATGGCTGATTCTAGTTGCACCAGAGACGAGAGAAGAGAAAGAATTGTTGCTGAATGTAATGCTGTTAGGCAGGCATTACAAGACCTCTTGTCAGAATATATGACTAACGTAAGTGAATTCATAACTGACACTTTTATTTCTCAAAAGTTTGGTAGACAATTGTTGAGAATCAACATTACCTATTCCTTGATACACATACTGTTTTATTACTGTAATTACAATAATTGAATGCGCTTTGAAAACACTATTTTTTATGCACAATTTGTCTTCTTTATTCTTTTTTACAATAAATGAGTTGCAGTTTCATTTTAATAGAATTTTTAATTCCATATTGAGAATAAAAAAATCAATTATATATTAGCCTTACTGATCTTCATGTAAAACAATAACAGGTTTAGAACTTTTCTTTACACCCGGTGCAGACGAACGTACAATTATGCGTCGCAAATAATGCGGGCATTGTTGAAATACATTGTCTCCTACAGACAAGCAAATGTTCCCATACGAGACGCTGACGAGAGAATGCGCTCGTATGCGATGTTCGTTTAAGTTGATTCATAAGAGACAACGTATTTCAACAATGCCTGCATGATTTGCGGCGCATAATTGTACGCCTGTGTACAGACGGGCGTACAATTATGCGCACTGCAAATTATGCCGTAGTTCTTTATTGAAATAAAACGTTTCTCATGAGCCAGACGAGCGAATGTGAGTGTATGTGTCGCTTGTCTGCACTGGCTCATAAGAGATAGTGTATTTCAACAACGACCATCTCAGCGCATGATTTGCAGCACATTGAGTTGTACGCTTGTGTGCACAGGGTCTTAGTTATCCTAATTTATTGTAAAGATAGATAAAAGTTTGTTGAGTGGGAATTTTTATTGGTGTTTCTATAATTGGATTCAGGTCGGTTGATATTGGTACTGTTGAAAAATATGAAACATATTAACTCTGTTTTAATAATGTAAATTATGAATTTAAAGCTAAAAGTTTTATCACCTTTGATACTGATCTGGGAATGTCATTAAGAAAGAAAGAAACTGTTGGACATGAATAGATTGACTATACTGGGAGCTCAGGTATCACAGACAATGAAAAAGCTGATGAGTGTGCCACACATGGATCATCAAATCAATATATAGACCCTGAACCAACTATGGGGGTACAAAACTCTTGGTATAGAACCAGATTGGAAAGTGGATTTATAAGAAACATAGAAAGTACTGGGAAAACATACCAGGGAACACACAGAAAAACCTTCATAAAGATATAGTCTGAGAAGAGAATCGAAGAAGTGCTTCAACTAAGCAGCAGAATGAAAATGATATCAATGAAATTATATAAATAAAACATTTTTATTGTATCGATATAATTCAACTTGAGAAATTCAACTAACAATTTTTTGAAGTGATCAATTGATTTGCTACATTTAATTTCCTTAGGAAGTGATCTAAGAGCTTTCTAAGAGCAATGAACTGGTCGAAGTAAGTATGGAATTTTCCATTTATTATTTCGAGAATGAAAATCATGGAGATGAACAGTTCATCTTTCATAGATAATTCAATCAAGAACGTGAAGCATTATGCTTATGGAAGTATATCTGTTGCATTTCAGCAATACTCGCATGCATCTATTCTGCACCTTTTTCTGAAGTGCACTTAGCAACCTGTATTGATGAATGTATCTGTTAAAACAAAACTGTTATTAGTATGTTGTGACCTATTAAGTAGGTAGCTTTCGAACCAATTGTGTATTTTGTCAGTTAAATCTCAATACCCTAATTTAGTTAGTAAGCCCTTTTAGAGTCCTAAAGTACAAGTACTATTTTTTATTTGCATCAGTATCAGTTTTCCACTTTGACAAGGTTACTTGCAGAGCTGTTTCGCAGGAAGCGATCTCTACTGAACCCAGACTTGAGTTTACTTTCATTAATAGAGTTAAAAACTTGATTGTAGGCAGAAATATCAAGTTCTTTTTTCTAGAATTGCAGTGAATTGATAGGTCGTTGTTGGGATGACTAAATTAGGCTATTTTTCTGAAGGAAGCCATTCCCGATACTTTGATTGTGTTTAAGTTTGTATGTTCAACCTTCTGTTAATATGCCTGTGCCTGTGACAAATTTTTGAGTAATTGCCACTATGATGCTACATATGGAAATGAACTCTTTCTTGTTGGGAAACTACCTGATTTCACAACAGATAAATTTAACTTCCATTCTACAAACAGATGTGGTGGTGTGGGTAACATTGGGTTGAGAAAACCAAAGTTGACATGTTTCACAATTTTTTACAGTCCCAATATAAACTGATCTATTCAAGGTGGCTTGTTTCAACTGAATTATATTGTATAAGGGTTGCTTTTCATGTTTTCACAAACAATGAGTGGAAAATTCTTCCTTCGTTACCCTCAATCCAGTGGAAACTTAGAAATCGACAGCGTAATTAGTTGATAGTGAGTTTGTGAAATAGTTGAAATCACTCACGAAAGTTTTCTTTGGAAGATTTTTTACGAGTTTGAGACAGGAGTAGAATTTGAAAGAGGATCGACTCATTATGCCAAATAAAAAACCATTAACAGCGATTTTCATCAACTCAAAAAGCTGTTGAAGCCTTCCAACACTGTTTTTAAGATTCAAAATTCAGTGTGAAAAACTGTTGAGAGAATTGGTTTTAATACATGCATAAGTTTATAGCAAAACAGTTTGTTCCAACATTTTTTTCACTTTTTGTAAGAACTTTAAAGGTGACCCTCGTATGAGATCATTATACACAACTGTTTCATAGTCATTTCCCTACATTCGATTTTACTCATTTGTTAAATGTTATTCATAACATGGAATAGGAAGGTAAGAGAATGGTAAAATCACACCACTCTTCTCTGTCATCCATAAAATGATATTAAACCCACCAAAATTTCATTTATCTTTTTGAGATGACTTTTTTGTTACATCTTCAACATTATGTTCATTGAATTCAGAAAAAGCTGCACAGCATAGGTTATTTCAAGTATGCTTTCTAGCTTAAAGTCTGTTTTACTTTGTATACAGCAGTTGGAAGTATTACGTGGAGTGACAAGGGTAAATATTATGTATCCCATAAACGTTTTCAATGTTCACTCTTTGAAGTAGCCCCTTTCGATATATAGTCTAAAAATTACCGCTTCAAATCAAGATATGCATTCAACAATGTCGCAATTAACAAAGAATCAGAGTTATATATTTTGCATTTCATTTTTTAATGATGTAGCATTGAAATGGGCTGCTATCAGTGAAATTCCAATTGAATGTTCTCTCTTTCTCTTCCTTTCTGTCAAAATATGTTTCAAGCCACATCTACAGCAGTTCTTTATATGTTTACAGATGGGAAATAAGGATAAGAGTGAAAGCCTCAATAGAGCTATTGATAATATGGGAAGGAAAACCAGGGATTTGAGAAGACAGTTGAGAAAAGCCGTTGTTGATCATGTTTCTGACAGGTGAGAAACAATATCACATTCAAATTAACAAATAATAATGAATCTGTCATCTGATATTAGTTTCATTTTATATTTATGTGCGTTACAATTTCAGTTTCTTGGAGACCAATGTACCATTGTTGGTTCTCATTAAGGCTGCTCAAAATGGAAATGAAAAAGAAGTGGAGGAATATGCAGTTGTCTTCACAGAACATTCCAATAAATTGGTTGAAGTCGCCAACCTCGTTTGCAGCATGTCTAATAATGAGGATGGCGTGAAAATGGTCCGTTACGCAGCAGCTCAAATAGAAAATCTCTGCCCTGAAGTAATAAACGCTGCTCGTATCTTGGCAGCCAGACCTCGTAGCAAAGTTGCTCAAGAAAATATGGCTGCTTTCAAACAGTCTTGGGAGAATCATGTCAGAATTCTCACGGAAGCTGTCGATGATATAACGACTATTGATGACTTTTTGGCTGTCTCGGAGAATCATATTTTAGAGGATGTCAATAAATGTGTTTTGGCATTACAAGAAGGTAATGATAAGTCTTGTTTGGTGAAACTTATTACTCTCAATTCTCTTTTAAGTCTGTTTAATAAAAACTCTGTCACTGAGCCACTTCAAGTGATTCAATGTTTACTCTACCAGTGTGTTGAGTAGAGTTCAGCAAAAGACCATAAATTTTTTTTTTAAGTATTCTTGAAAAAACAGTCTGTTTAAAATCTGTTTTTCTTTTAACCAGCTGATTATTGGGAATGGGACATTGCTCATTGCTTTACAAAGTTGATCGAAAACTGTTGAAACAATATTTTTTATGTGACCTAATAAAAAAAAAATAAGTATATCGAATGGTTTCCGATTTTATTTTTGCAAAATGTTCATGTTTTTTTTTTAGGGGATGCTGACACATTGGACCGTACAGCCAGTGGTATTCGTGGAAGATCGAACAGGGTTTGCAATGTTGTTTCTGCTGAGATGGACAATTATGAGCCGTGTATATACACGAAGCGCGTACTGGAAGCTGTCAAAGTGCTCAACGATCAAGTAATGCCAAAATTCACTCAAAGAGTTCAGGTTGCGGTGCAAGCATTAGGAAACAATCCACCAAAAGAAGTTGATGAAAATGACTTCATAGATGCGTCTCGCTTGGTTTATGATGGAGTGAGGGAAATACGTAGAGCCGTGTTGATGAATAGAGTGAGTGAAAAATTAATTGATATTTGAATGTGAAGTGAATTTATATTATGCCATTCTGAAAGATAGAAACTGTTTCAACCTATCAAAACTACTGAAATTGTTATTATTGTGTGTCTATTTAAAATTTCAGTAATGGGGTTTTTCCTAAATTTCAAACTATATACCCTCATAATTCAGGTCTGAAATATAGAATTCAATAGAAAAATATTCATCTCTTTGACTTGCCTTACGTACTATCCATATCTGGATTTGCCAGATATTATTATTAGTAGTATCATTATTATTTTTAATATGTAATGAATTCTAGGCTGACGAAGATTTGGACCCAGAGGATGTTGAACTGGATGAAAATTATACATTGGAGACCAGAAGCAAATGTAAGTAGAAAGAATTGAATTGAAATTATCGTATTCGTTATGAAATTCCTTTATTTATATTTTTTCAGCGAGTGCTCATACTGGAGAACATGGTGTTGATGAGTATCCAGATATTAGCGGAATCACCACAGCACGAGTAAGTTTTCTGATTGAGATATCACCTAAATCTGACAGATGACTAGGCCTAAACAATGCAATATGAATAACTTTTGTAATTGATTTTGGTTCAATTCAGTTTGAAGCATTGAGAAAATATCTAGTCTCTACTTTTTTGTATAATTAGAAATACTAGTAAAAATCAGTTAAGTTAGTTACATTTTTCATTCGAGATTGTTGCTGTCTTCATTCATAATATTCAAATTATTTTTAGGAAGCAATGGGAAAAATGCCGGAAGAAGATAAACAGAAGATTCTGCAACAAGTGGAATTCTTCAGAAGTGAAAAACTTAAATTTGACCGTGAAGTTGCCAAATGGGATGATACTGGAAATGACATCATCGTTTTGGCCAAACATATGTGTATGATCATGATGGAGATGACTGACTTCACAAGGTATGACATTGAGATGTTCTTTCCAAAAAATATAGACGCGTGCGTCCCTCACGGTAGCGTTTTTGGGCCCCTATTTTTCATTTTCTATAATTGATGGTAACTTGTGTAGAGTCCATTAATCGTTCAGGAGATCATACTTGCGTGATTTTTCAGAGGTCGTGGACCATTGAAAACGACAATGGATGTAATAAATGCAGCAAAGAAGATTTCAGAAGCTGGAACCAAACTGGATAAACTCACCAGGCAGATAGCAGAGCAATGTCCGGAAAGCTCAACTAAGCAGGATTTGTTGGCTTATTTACAACGTATTGCCCTTTACTGCCACCAAATGAACATTACCTCCAAAGTTAAAGCAGATGTCCAGAATATAAGTGGAGAGTTGATTGTCTCTGGTGTAAGTATATCTTAAGATCTGTGATGGAATTGGCCGATACTTGATGAGAATCCATGACAACGTATTCAAGTAACACTTGTGAAATTTCACTTTTCACTCAATAGTATGCTTCACAGACTATTGAATGTTTCACTTTCAGGAAGTAATTTTCAAAGAGAACTCAATTTTATCAAACAAATTGCTCTCAACAACTGTTACAAATTTTCAGTGTAACACCTCGATACGTGTTTCGATCACCAAGTGATCAAAAATTAACGTTTTTCAGTTGGATAGTGCTACATCTCTGATCCAAGCAGCAAAGAATTTAATGAATGCAGTAGTTTTGACCGTCAAGTCTTCGTATGTGGCATCTACGAAATATCCTCGACAGGGAACCATTGCTGTAAGTGACTTTTCTATACTAAAGCAGATCATGTTTGAACACATATGTCAGAGGTTTGAATGCATGAAAATTTGTTACGAATTCGGTGTTCCATTGTCTAAACAGGTGCCAACAGATTTGAAATAAATGAAATTTTAAAATTATCGACAGTACTAAAAGTAATCAGATCGATATATGATTTAGTTAGTTGAAACAGAAATAATGTCAAAAAACTTTGTGAAAATGAATAACAAAAAATTGTATAAATATCCATAAAATGATCCAAGAGGCTACATCTGTGTCTACAGCTCAAGAGGCGGAGCTGCATGTCCTTCAGTAATGAAAACAAGAAATAACTTGAATAGTTTGGGTTTTATCACCTCACATTTAATTTCGGTAGCTTCAACTGCTTTAGATTTGTGGGTGCAGCAATTTGCATACATTCATATTAGGTTACAACAGACATTCGCATTTGCCCCCATCCTAATGATGAGATAAGCACCGAAAAAAAGGAGGCTATTTTTTTAGATTCTTTAGGGTATTGGGGAGGAATATGTCCAAAGTCAAGTATAAGCTGGGCATAGTCATCTTCGAGCACCTAACGGTTCTTAACACCAATGTTAAGAGTAATAAAAGCAAACTTTCATATCCTCAGGGGTAGTTTGATATCGTTCCCACATACAGACTAACATTGGTTGATAGCGATAATTCGTAATATTATTTTAGATGTCTGGAAAATACTTACAAACAGAAAACCCTAATACATTCACTGAAAGTAAACCGAAGTCTAATAAGTCTCTATTTCCTCATTGAGGTGGGTGGGTGTGTAAATGGATGCAACTTTTCTCAGCATCAAATTGCTATACCGACTTCTACAAATGAAGCTACAGAAATTTCATCAGAAATAAAAATGAGAACTCTTTGGGATCAGATAATATTGCAATTGAAATGTTCCCAATACTAAATGGTATTGGTTTTTGCAGAAACTATCAATAAGTCATACCTAATGGAAACTTTTCATCTTGTTTGCAAAAGGCCAAAATATTTCCATTGTTTGAAGGATCTCACTCCAGGGGGTTTGTTAAAAAAAAATACAAATTTGGAACTCGATATTTATTTTGAAATCTTCAATAATTTACATACTTACATTATTTAATATAAAACATGAAAAGTAACGTAATAACAAAACTGAACAGGTAACATGAATTTATGTGATCTCATTTCTCAACAAACGACATCATATACCACTTGAATGTCAATAGTTACTGGTCCTCTGCTGCTACACTTGCTGTAATTTCTGAACTTCCAGCTTGGTTACAATCAAGGTGACTTATACACCACTGTTCATTATGACGTACTTGGTAGAAATTGGGTGCTTTTATTTGAAATGCCAGTTCCAGAGTGTCTAGAATTTGGTCTAAGTAACCTCCCCTAGCCAAGAGATCAAGACGGAAGAATCTTCTATCCCCGTTAGATTGACCTACTTCAAACTGGGAAACATACCGTCTGACAACATTTTCTGAAGGGTCTCTCCTGGCTTGGTTTCTCATAATAATTCTGTATCTATAATCAGATGTTTCACGGTACCCAGCGCAGAGCTCCAAGAATACTGAGAGATAGTTTCCTCTTACTTCCTCAACACCATTTGGATAAACTATCATTCTCCAACATAACCCATTGGAACAGAATAAATTAGAATATACGGGGTCTCCTTTTTGTTGTAATCGAGAGAAGGGATGCACCACGTAGGTATGAGAATCACCATAATGTGAAGGTATTATAGGAAGGGAGTTTGCTGGTTCTGGTCTTGGTACGGGAATCCTAGATAATACTGTTTTTTTGAGCTCAGATATCATGACCTCTAACTCACTACTTTTAGAGACCAGTTCAGGTATAGCAGAATTTTTCATCACATTATTAATGTACTCAATTTGACCCGTTTCCTCTGCAAGGAAGTCAGTTACATCCCTTAGCTTTTCAAGTGAAGCTACTTCATCTTTTAAAAGTTTCAGTTTGCTCTCATACAATTTCGTCAATGGTCTTATTGTGTGATCCGAGTGGGTGCCATCCCACAAAACACATTGATAACAAACTCCGCCTAAACAAGTTATACAGTAAATTGACATGTCCTCTGAATGAGTTGAACAAACTTCTGGACGAAGTTTTCCCAGATAGTTCATTATATCGTCAGCCCATAGACAATCCACAAGTTGTAGTATGTCAAGTCGAGTCTTACATTGGGGACACCGACTTTCTTTGGTGAGGAACCAGCTGTTGATGCATGAGTAACAAAAAAGCTGAGAGCAATGTGGGCATATGTTTGTTTCATATACCTTATTTTTGCAGATGAAACATTGCAAAAATTTAGTTACTTTTTTTATGATGTCCAGTTTTGAGGTAGATTCCATTTCTGATAAATCTGATTTTGGGACTGAATACCTAAAAAATATAGAAATATTTTACTGGTTCCGTTAAAACGTGCTTCAATTACTTGTCTTTTACCTGCTGAGCTCCGTTTTATTAAAAGTTAAATATCCAATTCAGTTTTGGAAAATGTTTCTTAATTCTCCAAAATAGACTTATTGAAAATGCTTGATAACACTTTTGTTTGACGACAGTCATCTTTTCAGATCCCAGAATATTCCCTGCAGGCTCAAAGCCAACTTCACCAAGGAATTGATTGGCTGGGACATGATACAATTTGCACAATGCAAAAGAATAATATTATACCACATAATATTCTCAGACAAAAATAAAATAGATAGTTTTCTTTAGGATGATTCGTGCGCGCGAGTTCCATATTCAAATTTTTTGACATGCGAGATTTCAGTGGTGAGTTCTGAAATTCATATGACGTTATTAGGCAACTTGAGTCGGTGAGATTTTAACGATAATAAGTGCGTTTTGTTGTCAGTAATCTTATTTCGGTCTGAATCAAAAATTGCACTCCTGTTAATGACTCCGTTCATATATATGTACACAATTTTCGTTAACCAGGTGTGGCCCATCTTTACACTTGACTGCACCGTACTAATGAGGCCAGTGCCAGAACACGTGTCCGCAGTTTGCGGTGGTTTTTCATAAAGGTTCGAGTCCTGATCTGGGACATTATTATATATTGTTGCGCAATCTACAAAGTAATAGTGTAAATTGAGAGGAAGATATGAATTGAGATTACACTGACATGAAATATTATTATTTTAGGTTATGAATGCAAACGTAAGTTCACAGTTTTCTTTGAATTACTTCTGTGAATCTATAAGAATCTTGAATTATTAACGGAGACAGTTTGTGTTCGTTGTGAACTAATTTTATTTTCATGTGAATATTAGACAGAAATATTTATATTACGGCGAGCGAACACGTTCGCTCTACTGTTAGCCTATTGGATAGAAACGAAAATATTTTACAAGTAATGTTAGATTTTTGAATCCTGTCTCATGATAAGGTGCGTTTCGTTGGCGTTAATCTATTCCAGGCATGTCCGTCCTTCCCGAGTTTATTCGCTTTCTTTGTTTGGTCACAATATGTAGAAGAGAGACGGCGAATAACTTTTCGTCAGTTTTGGCGTGAATGTCTCAATATGGAATACCTAACATTAGTGAAAAAATTTGTGAAAAAAACGCAATGATCAACATCATTGAGAGGTTGGCCAATATACATCGGCTAATAGTGGAAAATGTGAATTACGTTTCATGTTTGAAAAAATCAAACGTACTCTTTGTTCTTTTATTTTGATTAAATTGCCCTTTCATCGATAGTGAAATGCATATTTGTTTACGTTTGTTGTTAGTTTCTTCATTTTCTTTTTTGATTATTTCACAAATTGTCTTAAACTTGGGTAATTTATAGAACGTTACACTCATCACTATTGAAACACCAACATAAAAAGCAATATGGCCTCATTTCACCCAGTACTACAAATAGCGAATAGCAGAACGAATCTATTATCAATAAAGATAATTATTTGAATTTGACACATTCCTAATATCAAGATCAATTGATGACTAAAATCAATAGAATTATTGATGAAGAAAAAAAAATGAAACTCTATGTTTTTACCACTTTTATTTGTAACTAATATTACTGCAGTTTCGTCCTACAAGAACATTATCAATCTTATACATTACAGAAAGTTTCAATTATCTTTTCTTCATTATGATTTCCTACCACATAGTAACGGCTACATCCATCAATTTATTGAAGGAATTATTGATCATTGGCACCATCTTGCGGCAACGTCAGAACTACCCCACTCGGTCTTTGTCTATAAGACCTTAGACAATGACTCCGTCTTTCTACAATTTCTGAAACAAAAGCAAATCCTAGCGTCTACCGCTGTATAGACATCTCAGTCACCATCGAAATACATATAAACCCTGGCGTTTTTTATCGATACGCGAAAAATGAGATTAACACAAATTTGTACACATGTTGATAGATGACGCAAGAATCGAAATCTGTCGCGCGATTCTGTTAAGATCTTTAATTTATGGATCGTAATGTAAAAAAAAAAATTAATTTACTTTCAAATATAAATAACATTGAAAATTGAAGTGCCAACTTGACATTGTCAAGTAGTGTCACTTGAGGTGTACTCAGGACTTCTTTGAATGGGATGCTGAAATTAATTAGATCTCTTTATTGTCATCAAGAAAATTTGTCGACAAAATATTTCACATGGCGAAGAGGCCCAAGCGATCACACCAGGTGACCAGGTAGACTTTATGCATCTTGCTTTTATAAAATAATCAGGATGGCTGCATAGCAAAGACTGCTTGCCTTCTCACGGTGGTGCTGTTTTTGAAGTAAAATTTTTTTTACGCGCGCTTGACTTGGGGAGTAAGCTGGTGAATGCGTCACGAAAGCGTTACGAAAAGTGTGATCGGGCGAGGCGAACAGAAGTTGAGAGATAGGTATAATTTAGTGAAGATATACTTCGTATATTACTGTAGGGGCAAGAGAGAGAGGTGAGAGCACACATTTATAGTAGAGTAGGCTCTGAAGAATTAAGAGAAAACTATCATACGTTGCATCTAATTTTAGCAGGAGTTTTCAATGGTAACTTCGCGTCCGAAGGTGGACAACTCTTGGTAAACTTTCTATGAGATAAATTAGAACTGCAAATGAATAATAATCGAAATGAGCCTACCACAAGACATAGAACAACAATCGATGCAGTTTTCTCTAGATATCTTTCTAATTTTCATTCGAAAACGTATGTATCTTATTTCTCATACCATAAGCCTATTGTCTCGGTCTTACACTCAACCACAGTAATCACTGTGTTTGAAAATAAAAATTTAAACAATATATTCAAAAATGTTAATTTATCAATGAAAACCCATAATAAATTTGAATATTTGTAGAAAAATAAAATATGTATATACAGTGTATAATATACATAATATGAACATGATATATACATACATATAGATGGAGCTACAGAAGTTTTACTTCAGTCGTGTGGTCTTAAGCACACTCGCTTTTTTTTCTGGAGTTTTCCTTCAGATGAAAAGTTAATGTGCCATCTGAGCATAAGTTGTTCTTTACTATTTATGGTGTATAACTATATAGAAGTATTTTTTAGTTCTGATGATAAAAATAACTGCTAGAATAAATTATTCAAAATTTTGTTATTATGGTTGAATATAATAGAACGTTCATTATCAATAAACTTAAATTATCAATAATATTTGCACCAGGTGCAAACATTATTGGTAATTTCAGTTTTTTGGGGAATCATGGGAATATATTCAGATTCCTTCATTAATTTCTACACTAACATCTATTTTATTTCTTCTGTCAAAAAATGTTTTTCATTCAAAACTGTATATTTCTCAGAATAGATTTATTGAAAATCACAAAAGTTTTCCACTACGTAGATATTCTTACAGTATTTTCATCAATTCACAACCTAGCCTACAGTCTACAAGTATGATAAAAATAATTTGCAAAAACTTTGGAATTTTACCGACGGTTTAAAAATGCAGTTTTTCACTTTTGTTCTCACCGGACATGTCAACCGCGTTTGTAGACGAAACTGTGGCTGTAGTCGTGCTACATTTATTGCCTAAGAACCTGTTGAAATGATTACAATGAATTACTATGGTTATATTTTTCATGACAGAAACATGATTAGTGGAATAAGAATATGGCATCATGTTCAATTAACTTCCACCGAACTCTTGTAGAAAAAAAAGCTGAAATTGAAGAAAATGTACACCAAATACGATTCGTAGCATGCAAATATTGTCATTGAATTAATTTCAAAATCATTGAATTTATATTCCACAACTTCGTATTGCTTCTGCAAGCGGCGCATAACTTCAAGATAATACTCCTTATTGAACGTACGACCATGTGGCAAGAACGTGGCACTACGCCACGGTAATCGGAAAAAACAGTGAGCAAAACCTTGAAATTTGATCCAACTCGTACTTTTTTCTGTCTTGACTGTCTTGGACCTTCCATTGGACTTTGGTTTTGATGTCATAACCATATATCCATGATTCGTCACCAGTTGACCCTTTAAAGCAAATCTGGATTGTCGTTGACATCATTCAACAATTCCTGAGCGATGCTCATGCGATATATTGTTCGGTTGTACAATCACCGTATGTCACTGTTAACATTTCAAGTGTTTTCAGGCACTTGATTCCATTTTTATTAAAAGCTTTTATTTAACTTGACTTGTATGTATGTTAACAAATCTTGCAAGTTTAATTTGACCCACTTCCCGGTATCCGATTGACCTGAAATTTTGCATGCTGGTCCAGAACCGATGACAATGCATGTTAATCATAAACGTGACCTGATGCTGCTGCCAGGATCTGCTCCGTACGAGAGATCTAAGCGGTAAATAGCAGGGACACGACATTTTGTATACGCATTCGTTTATGATAGGCAGTTGGTAGGCCCACCTTGAAATAGATGCCACATCCAGGATTGGCTTCATTAAAAAAATATATTTCTAGAAAAAACATTAAATCAAGCTTTTACCTTTAAATACCTACTTCCCGACTCTAAAAAGAAGACAATTAATGGTGTAGTAGGTTGTAAGAACCCATATTTATTTGCATTGTAATGAAATAATTTCACAAATTCTTTAATCCGTTTTTTTCAATAGCAGAAAGTGGCCGAACACGCAGAACACTTCTAAATTTTTTTAATTTTAATATAACATCGTTCAAATGTCCGTCACGGCTTGTCTGAGTGGAGCTCATCCGAAACGTACAATTTTCCATGACTTTGGCGTACAAATCAGGCTTAATTCGACCGATGGCATTGGTTATGTTGGCTTTGAGTACGTATCGCCTTGGTTTGTGGCTTATTCGCACACACCTGCGACGTTCGAAAACCCTACAAGAAAAAGTCTAACGGGGTCAAATCGCACGATCTCGGTGGCCACTTCACATCACCTCCACGTGAGATGTGACCATTCCCACAAATCGCTTGTGCAGAATATCCAATGTGGCATGAGCTGTGTGGCACATAGCGCCGTCCTTTTAACCATCCCATTCAGGCCAAAAGAAGTTGGTAATCATCGACCTATATAGTGCTCGCCGTTGACAGGATGGCCTGGCCAACGTCGTTTTCGAAGAAATATGGACCAATGACGCCGGCAGTCCAAAATCCACACCAAACAGTGACTTTTTTGGGATGCATTGAACGTTTTCGGATCTCACGTGGAATAATTCGACAATTTTGTTTATTCACGTACCCATATATCCAGAAATGGGCCTCATCGCTGAAGATGATTTTTCCATGAAAATTAGGCCCATTCAGCGAACACTCGTCGTTATCTATGGTCGTTTACCTTCAGTTCTTGGGTAAGTCGAATTTTGTACGGGTACAGACCCAAGTCACGACGCAAAATTCGCCAAGTTGTGGTCAGCGAAAGGCCAAGTTCTTGTAAGCGACGCGAAATCGACTGCCTCGGAAGTCCATGTTGGAAGACCCTATATTTCATGCATCTAAAATGTTACTTATTCCTGGAATAACAAGATCTGACTGTTTTACTTTACTTATTATATCCAAATATTTTTTCAGATTAAAACGCAGAAACTGACTCATGTTTGACCTCACCTGATTAAAATTCCAAGATCTATATAGTGCTAGCCAGATTACCAGTACATTTACCATAATTAGGTTACGTTGATTTACAGATTTTTTGTATTTTTGTGCCGCCTAATAATGATTTTACCAGAGATTTAAAGGATCAAATTTCTGATAACTTCTTCCGAATACCTAGTACTAATGTTTTCTTTTGGATATTTTGTATTATTTGAAAGTCGTAAGTACCTACACTACCTATTCATTAAGTCATGCTAACACTTTGCTTTTGTGTAGTGTTGCAAAGATATGGAATATGGACAAATTTGTCCGGAAAAAAAGCAATTTTGGAAGTTATGATTCACTTTCACAGCAGACTCGAACAAATCGTAACTGATGACAGAGTGTGATATCCAAGGAATTAGTCATCGCTATATAACTAAATAGTATTTCGAATGTACCGGGCATGCGCGATAGGCACAAGTTCAAAAGGAAACGACCAATGGTAAAATAGACATCGCAATGCAGGCATGATGTGAATGGTTTGTGTGGCGATGACTCATATTCGTTTCTCATATTCTGCTCTGTGCACAGCACAGTACATGCTAGATTTAAAGTTTATTAAAAACCGTGTTATTGATGAAGTAAGAGTTTCGTGATTTTGATTTATTTGCAGGATAAAGATAGTGACTTATTGGTAATTCAAATGTTTTTCGCGGTATGTGCCTGCGTTTACGGTGAAGTTCTTAGTTCCTATTTGTACACAAATGTTGAATTAAAATACCTGTTGTCAACATTATTTGGATTATAACAATTTGCTGACAAGCCAGGAGAGACTGGTTTTTGGTAAGGCCTAATACGATTTTATTGTTTACCTTTCTCATGTTTCGTGATAACGATTTAACTACATGAAAACACGAAAGTAAAATCAATAGAGATTCCTGTTCGGAAATAACAATAGGCAGGTATCTACAATGTTTTCGAAGATATATATTGTAAATTATTTCTCTAATTCTTTTCAGTGATTGCTTTGTGGTTTTATTATCGAATTGATTTTCAACTTTTGTGTTCCCATGTGTACAAAACAAAACATGCTTTCTAATCTCTAAATATAGAATTCCTAGCTTTGTCCCCTTAAATCTTCAACAAGTTCTGTTGGTTATACCTTTATTAAAAATAATTGGAATAATAATAGTAATGAATGACCTGGTCAGCAAATCTTTTTAGTGACATAATGAAAATAATCGATTCATTAAGAATATTTCAATAAAACTAGAGAAATAAACAAATTATATACAGTCATAATATATAATTTTTAGTTTCAAAACTTCACATTTCATGTACTTGAGTATGTAGGTATGTATCTTTCCAATTGAATGAAAATGAATAAACCTTAATTTAAACTTTATGTTATTTGACTGAATTTATTTCATTTCATTTGTATATTAGTGATTTGCATTCACAACTTTGTAGAGAAACATTTTGGAAAACACTTTTTTCAGCTTTCTAATGCTTCATTTATATATTCAAACAAAAATGTTGGAAATATAATGAACAAAAACTACGTACAGGGCTATTAGAATGAACAAGCATTTAAATAAAAAAATCATTTCTCATTTTTTTCGAATCTTAATAATAATAATGTTAGCAAATTTGATCAGCCTATATATTAAACAGTATTGCACCTAGGACTGTGCCCTGTACTTTTTGAAAAGTTCCTGGAACTTGCCTCTGATGATAAGTTTAACTTAAGTACAGCCATAGATGGCTTTTCGATTATTTTCTAAAATCTTTCAATGAAACAACTGAAAAAAATCTGTTGGTAAATAATGTACGATATTTTTGCAATCTCATTCAATTAATCGTAATCATACAATATATAACCATCATTATGTAGGTATCTCGTTATCAGAAATGGCACGAAAAGTTTACCCAACAGATTTTGTCACTGTTATTTTTACACTCTATTGTGAAAGTAATCGTGTTTCATGTGTGAAACACTCCTTGCTGTGCAAAATGTTGGAAATTCGTGATGAAATCTTTGAGTGGACTTCCGGCAGTGTCAAAAGAATTATAGGTAAAGTAACTTAAGTCAAAGATTTTTATAATTTAAAAAAGGTGAGTTGAAACCCATTTTGCTACCCGTTCGAGTTAAACGAGATACCAAAAGTAGTAGCATGGACTTCCTGAAATCAAAAATGTGTTAAATTAATTGCTTTGATATCTACCTGCCTTCTCAACAATTAATATTAAATTCAGTATTGAAGATAAGAGATAAGTTACATCGAAATCTTCTAGTGTCTGATTCCAAGAGAATAAAGAACATTAAAAAAAAAGATACCGAATTATTGTGTACCCACTTCTTGACCTGTCAATAAAATAATATAATGCAATATTTAATTTGTATATTTTAATGTGAATTTTACAATGATTAATTTACTTTTTAGCCTTACCTATTTTCTTGTTTCTCTAGCTTATTTATTATATTTTATTTACTATTTGCATTGGTTTATGCAATTTATTTACATAACTTAACTTCTTATATCACCTCACCACTATCATTATCGTTAACAACGTCTAGGTATGTTTCTGTACAACTAGGTTTCAAAACTCCTAATTTTACTTTGATTTTAAATATTTTTTTAAACTTTCGAAAGGCCTAAATAACCAGTTTCATTCCTCCATTTCCATCATCAGACTCTGCACCAGGAGAGGAAGCAAAATCCCCCTGGGTCAGCAATTGCTTATGATGATTCACCAAAACCAGAGGCATGATCGTGGATGCAGGTTGCTGAGGTCATCAAGGTGGGAATCTTACACCTTGATTATTCGACAACCTCAATATCTCCTGGCTGGTGTTTGCAGTAAGTACCCTGCAATCACGGGAGGCGTCTTTCTGAAGTACGTCACAGGGGACCTACTTTCCAAGCCTTACATTTGTCTGTCTTACCTATCTGACCACCTAGAACTACCGCCAATCAGGTCCTCATTAGATTGACGAAAATGTACCATGGTCTGTCAACCTAGGAGGAAATTCAGGCTCTGGTAGCAGAGCATATACTCTATGCCTGCTCATCCACGAACTGGATCAGATTTTCAGCGTTTGGCAGAGTCTTACTCTTGCCAGCCGTCCCAAAAAATCATTCACCAATTGAAGGAATCGGCTTCGTTTATTTGGTCGCATTAGAATAGATGTGAACCATAATGAACCCTCGTGGGTTGCAGTGGAAGGTCGAATAAACCCACACACATTGAACCAACCACAGTCTATATGACCACAAAAATAATTGCATTCTGTTTTTTTTTTTGGTTTCCTACTGAAATGAACTAACATTTTTATATTCGGTTTTTTGAAATTCGATCCACTCTATTAGTCTCTAGGTTCAAATGGAAAGGCAGTATACTGTAATTTTTTGTCACTATTGAAGGCTGAGAATCAATGGACAAGGAAATCTTGAAATATTTGATATAAATGTACATCAATTTTCAAAAGAGGTTTTCACAGAGAAATGCATTGAAAGGCATGGACCAATAGAATGGCCTGCGAAGTCTCCTGATTTATATTCATCAGACTTTCTTGTGGGGATATAGGAGTTGTTGAAAATGGGTTATTGATAACATAATAATGTTGTATTTGATGGAAAATTCTTAGATATAGAATTTTGAATTGTGAAATATATACGTCAAAGTTGTTGACTTACCTTTGAAACGTTCGATGTAGTACGAGGTGTACACTGATTGCTGTTCCGACCGTTCCAATTTTGAACTCTGAATTTTGGTTAACTCCGATTTCAAACTCGGAATTTTTGTTGAATTACGTCTTGAAACTCCGAATTGCTGTTGAATTCCGACTTTCAAGAAAGAATTTTGTAAAATTTCGATTTCAATCCCGGAATTTCCGTCTTTTACCTCTGAATTTTGTTAAACTCCGATTTTATACTCGGAATTTTTGTTAAATTCTGATTTTACAGTCGGAACTTACCAAGGTTCAGGCTTCAAACTGTGATTTTTTGTAGAATTTCGACTTTGAACTTTGAATTTTGTCAAACTCCGATTTTGATATCGGAATTTTTGTTAAATTCCGACTTCAAACTCTGAATTGCTGTTGAATTCCGACTTTCAAGAAAGAATTTTGTCAAATTTTGATTTCAATCCCCAAATTTTCGTCAAATTCCGACGTCAAACCCTCCAATTTTAAACTCCAATTTTAAACTCGGTATTTTTGTTAAATTAAGACTTTACAACTCTAAACTTTGGCAAGTTCCGAGTTCAAACTCTGAATTTTTATTGATTTTCGAATTTAAACTTTGAATTTGGTAAACTCCGATTTTGAACTCGGNCGATTTTGATATCGGAATTTTTGTTAAATTCCATCTTCAAACTCTGAATTGCTGTTGAATTCCGATTTCAAGAAATAATTTTATCAAATTTTGATTTTAATTCCGAAATTTTCATCCAATTCCGACTTCAAACTCTGATTTTTTGTTAAATTCTGACTTTCACTCAGAAATTTGACAAATTTCGACTTGAAACGCTGAATTGTTGTTGAATTCCGAATTTCAACACAGAATTTTGTTGAAGTCCGATTCTAAACTCGAAATTTTTGCTGAATTTTGGCTTTACACTCTGAACTTTGGTAAAATCCGCCTTCAACGTTTTGAATATTTGTTCAGTTTCAAATTTATGAAATCTGAATTTCGTTTCTCCGATTTCAAACTTATTTTTGTTAAATTCCACCTTGAAACCCTGAAGTTTTGTTAAACTCCGACTTCAAACTCTGAATTTTGTTAAATTATGACTTTAAACTCGGAATTTTCGTTGACTTCTGACTTCGAGGTCAAAGTCGGAATTCAGTGATTTTTTTTTCAGAACAAAAAATATTTTTTGGCTCGTATGTGAAGTTCCCCATTACTATTTATATTTATTTATATCGTGGAAGGTGGAAATCTTCGATATGTTGATAAAAAATACATCGTTGTTCATACGCGAATCTGTCTTTTCTTTGAATTATGATGACCAGTCAATTAAAAAAAAAGAATAGTTAAAACGGTTGAAATTGCCCCGAAAAGCAGCTGTATGTGAATTGCATGTATTTTTTCCGTTCAATAATTCGTAAATAAACTAATCGGCAGCCGAACGACGGAAATTTATTTACTCTAGATAGCGTGAAGTAGCAACTGAGTCATCCCTCGAGTGGGGGTGACCAGGGTAAATATGTCATCAAAATTCGAGGAAGAGAATCCCAAACGCACTTCGTGATGTTGTTGGCAGTAATAAACGTTTTTTCTCTCAGCTCTTCCAGATTTAGACCGTGACGTTACACCGCAGCGTCATGTCAGTCTGCCTCGAAAGTAGTCGGGCGCGAGACGGTTTGAAGCTTCCTCTGAATCGAAGTTTCAGCGAGCCTGGTCCTCAGACGCCAACTCTATCTCTGAGCGCCCCAAAACGGTTCAAACTGGAGGCGGCGAGTGTCAGTTTGCCCACGAGTCCTTGTGCGGAGAGCGCCAATCTTCAAAGGACGTGGGTGCTGAATAATGTCAAGTGCATGGACGATGATGCCCTCAAGGCGAAGATGGAGGATCGAAGGTCCGGACCGAAGCCCTACATCCTCATCGACTGCAGGCCCTTCATGAGTTACAACATGAACCACATTTCGGGGGCCATCAACGTCAACTGTTCGGATAGATTCAACCGCAGGAGGTTGCAGCAAGGGAAGGCCACTTTGGCCGATCTTGCCACCACCAGGGAGGGCAAGGAGGTGCTGAAGAAGAGATCCTTTCGGGAAGTAATTATCTACGATGATTCTACCAGCGACAAGGAGAGAATAACCATCGGGCATCCCCTGCTTTTGGTGATGACGAGTCTTGTTGATGATCACAAGGAGCCAGCGTTACTTATAGGTGAGTTTTTTGTTTTTGTGATTGTGAGGCTGTTTACAAGAGTGACTACATGAATGATTGATTCAATAAAAAAAAACCTACATTCTGGTTTGTAAATTCTGAAAAATAACGTTTATGATGCATAGAACTTCCAAATTTCAGACACAAAGAACGGGGTTAGGTTAGGTGGGCTATCCTTGGCCCTGCAACATTTTTTAACAATCTGATACATGATAATTTTGAATAGTTTTCGATAAATTATAGTTTATTTCAAGAACGTATCAACTTCGATGTGAACACATCTGCATTTGTTGCAACCTTATTGTACTGTAGTAAGAAATTGTAGCATTCAATATGCTGGACGTTACTTAAGTTCCAAGTAACTCGGCTAAATTGATTTAAGTTTGGAAAATGTACTTAAAAATTGTATCCGCGTGTTCGTTGAATGATAAACAGCTGTCTATAGTTACCCCAAGAGTGTCGACTCCATTCCAATGGTTTCATTGTTCACAGAAAGACTATAATTTTCCAACTAAATATAGGTTTTTCGTAAATCTAGATTAATATTAGCAATGCAGCTTATATCACGAGCCTTATGAGTTGAATAGAATTGAAACTCATTTATATTTAAGGGCTTGTCAGACAAAATAGGTAAATAAAGAATAAAATTGTAAAAATAAGAGCCCCAAGATACTCTCTTGTGGAACACCAGAGGTTTCTGCATACCTGACTAAGTTCCACTCGCTGGCATGGTGGAATCGGAAGCCGCAAGGGAATTAGAAAAAGTTGTTTATGTTAGAGTTTGTTTGAAATAACGTTTCAAAATTTAAAAAATTCCGATTACTTCCGGAAAATGACTGAAATTCACCAAATCGTTTCAATTTTTTTCTGGTGTTATTTAAGATGACATCAGGTTCAATTCATGAATCAGGAACAATAACGCATGTCTTGGTAATGCCATCTGAGATGATGGCGAAATGCCGACCTTTGAAAAATATACAAAGGATGAACACCCGGAAAACCCGGGTTTTAGGCAAAAACTAGAATTGTTGAATTTCGTTTTTTGGCTTTATCGCCTCGATATCGAATATTATGTGAATAAATATAGTTTAAAAAACTAAAAAAACACGCTTTTAAAGAACATCGAACTAAAAAGTTAAAAATATCTCTTTTCAAATAGGCCTAAAACAATAACGACCGAAAAATACTGATGTTACTGTGAAAAAAGCGATGAGCACAAAATATTTTCAACTTTTTAGTTCGATGTTCTATAAAAGAGTGTTTTTTAGTTTTCAAACTATATTTATTTTTCATTATTTAGTTTCGTATGCTATAAAAGCGTGTTTTTTAGTCTTTTTAAACTATATTTATTTCATCTAAATTTTGTGTATATTGTTTAGAAAAATGACCATTGATATTTTCCGATTCCGGAGAGGGAAAAATCAGCTACCAAGCCCAAGACAACAGGCGCGCAAAGGAGGGGTACAGGTTACGTACAGCGCCATCTGCCCGCGAATAGATCAAGCAATAATGTCTTGAGCTTGAGACTTGCAAACAAACAAACGAACATACATACATACATACATACATACAGGTGAAGCTAATAAAAGCGTGTTGATAAAAAAAAGGCAGAGGAACTTCCAATACCGTCTCATATTTGTTATAATCTGATGTGAACCAATTTGCAATGCGACGTTTCGTTCATCAGAATTCAGCATCGACTTTATTTTTTGAAATACGAACCTGTATTGTAATACAGAGCTGAATTTGTTATCAACAGTTTAGTTGGAAAGTTCGTAGGCTAGGTCAAAGGTCAAAAGTGTTGTGGGTCTACTCGACCCTTAACCGCAACCCGCAAGGGTTTATTGTGGCTAACAAAGAAAAAAATCGATAACATTTTATTTCATTATTCAATATAGGGCGATCCAACGATTATAGCGGTCAATACCATTTTTATAGTAAGATTTGTCTTTATTGTCAAAATAGGTCTCAGTTTCGACGAGTATCACTTCATCGGCGCTAAATTTTTTTCCAGCCAGCATTCTCTTGAGGTCCGAGAACAGGAAAAAGTCGCTGGTGCCAAATCTGGAGAATACGGTGGATGCGAAAACAGTTCGTAGCCTCATTCATGCAATTTTGCTATCGTTTTCGTTGATTTGTGACACGCCGCATTGTCTTTGTGAAATAAGACTTTTTCTTTTTAAATGGGGCCGTTTTTCCGTGATTTCGGAAGCGAAAACTACGCTTGAAGATATTGTATATAGCGAAACACGTGCCTAGGAAGTTTTTAGCTTAACTGCTAGAGCCGCTGAACAATTCCGACATTGTTATGATTGTTCACGCATCAGCCATTAAGAAGCAGTTACTATAACTTTGTTATAATTTAGTGAGAGCAGTCCTTCGTGTGAGTGTTGTGTCGGTAGTTGTTTGTTATTGATTCATTCAAAGTGATGATTCGCCTTTTAAGACTATCGGATGAACGTTTACGTTGATAGAGTGTGATGTAAACATGGTGTATGCGACAAGAATTGTTTATTTTCAATTTGATACCGTAAACGATTTCGTTTATTGTTTTATTGTTTATGGCATTAGCAAGAGGAAGTTGCGTTTTTTTCGTGATACTGAAAATCTTCGATCCATTCTTATTGAAATATTCAAAAATAAACGAGACGATTTCGTTGTGAAAGTCGTAATTCCTTGTATATTTATGGTTATTACCTGTTCATTTTTATTAACCAACCAGCAGATGGTACAATGAATGGGGATCCGCAAAAGCTTCTAATTTTAACTGTCATGTTGATTCATAGCGACGAGAAAAAATGGACGGAAAGTCCAGTGGAAGAAAAGACAGTTTTTATCAATCTCTTTGATTCTTTGAATAACAATGGATGCTATATATCCTGGAGTTTTTTCAATATGAAATCGTTTTTAGTATGAAATCATCAATAAAAATAAGCGTGCAAATTATAAACTCAAATAAAGTGAAGTATACAGATTATTAAACAGCACTGTCATCTATAGATTGAAGTAATTACACCATTCACTTATGAACACCTATAATTTAATTGTGAACTGCGCTCATATATACCGAAAATATCTTGAGCGTCTAGGATTAATAAAGAGGAATCGAAAAAAATCGAAATTGAATGAAAAAAACTGTAACTTTCAACTTGATTGGCCTTGAATTTCGTAACAGCTTGTCTTCTGTGTCTAGGTTGTGAGATATCCACTGATCAGATAACCGAAATACGAGTTTCGCTGTATAATAGCTTCCTCGGGCGTTTTCATATTCGCCTGAGTAAGCTATAGTAAGTGGCTTCGTCGGACGTGTTCATCCTCACATAAGTAAGCTTTTGTCAAATGGCTTCCTCGGACGTGTTCATACTCGCCCGAGTAAGCTAATGTAAATTGGCTTTCTCGGGCGTGTTTCGGAAATATGTCTAAACCTTTTCATATTTGGCAGTGAAGCTAAGTAATAAAATTTTATTTTTTCAGTTATTTATTTTAGTTTTAGTTTTAGTAGAAATTATAAATACTGAGTTATTGGAGTCTTTAGTGGTTTATATATTATTTCTCAGTAACTTTTTGGGGTGTATTTTTCAGTTTGCCCTTTGTTATACTTCTCTGAAGTTTATAAACGCAAAGAACATCAAGGAACATTGACTCCTTTGATTACTCCATTGATTACGGAGAAAGAATCTTCAAAAATGATCCTTTATGAAAGATAGTATTCCTATTCATATTTTTATTCTGTAATGATAATAATAATGAGTCAAAATATTCGGAAATTGTATATGGAGCTATTTTTTAGCCGCAAATGAATATTATTTTTTGTTCATTGAAGATTCAATATTATATATGTGGCACATATTAATTGAATTATTAGTTTTGTAGGAGAACACTGTTTTCATTTTCTGCAGGTAAAACGCCTCATAAGGCACATGTTCGATATTTGGCCTTAGATTAAAAGACTATCCATATATCCTGTCCTGTTACTATCCTCAAACATCTAGATTTTTCTGCAGAATATTTCATTCAGAATAAACCTCATTTTATACTGATTTAAAACTACAACCTACTTTCCGAAACTTGGGAAAATCAAACAGGATTCGGCGATGGCCTTGAGACCAATAAGTCTCATTGTATTGACAGAAAAACTATTAAAAAACTACTTGATAATACAAATGAAGAATAAGGACTTTGAGATTCTTTCGTGGATATTAAAAATGGATTCGATAATATGTCCTTAGAATCAAGCAGAGTTGTAATTTGCAGTTTTTTTTGGTTCTTGTCATTTTTAAACATCCTCGACGTATTTCAAAGGAGTTTTGAAGTGATTGCCTACACAAAAATGACTTTTATTAAATTTGAGTTAAGGATGTCCTGAATAGCACACACCCAGTATAAAATATTCACATGGGAATTAGTTAAATACTGACAGTGACGTTGTTCTATTGAGGTATTTGGAAAACAACACATTTTCATATATTTTTTCCTGTAGCTTAAATAAACTAATCCATCATTCATTTTATATATAAAAATATGAATAAAATCATCTTTATTTCGAGTTTCTCTCTCGTGTGCCCGCCCGAACCTGTGCCTATGTGTCATCGCTCAATTTCCTTTCATTTCTGGTTCCTTGTTTGGATCCGTCGTATGCACGTATGCACAGCCATGATATATAAACGTAATTTAATAAAGGGCTTGGCAAGCGTACTGTATTTTATTCGTATTTGGTGTCCTTGGAGAGAGACAAAAAATCTTTATTTATATTTGGATGACGAATCTGAGTGTTTTGGTCATTTAAAGAGATCACTGTACTGAATTGGCATGGCATCCGTATGACTAACGTAGTATCCTTCTACAGAGTGGCGTGGAAAATCCCAGAGACCGTCGGATTTTCCGAGAATTTCAAATTGGAATTTCATCTCATAGCGGTTTGGCTCTGTTTATAAACAAAAGTATTTGTTATCGTTTCGGATCCTGGATCGGATCCTTTCATTATTCAACCGGCTGACGCG